TACGTAATAAATAGATCGATTGTACATTATAAATTTTAATTTAAGATGCACAACACTAATTAAGTACGTTTAGACTTGAAAATATAAAGGAGTTCATTTTAGGTTAGTATGGACAGTATCTACTTACCTCTAAATCCAAATCCGTGTCATGTTCGTATTCAAAGTCGTCATTATCACTGTCTAATATGCGTAGCAGTTCATCTCTTGAATAATATTCACTCATAATTAGATAGTTTTCCGGAAAATAAATTCATCCAATCACTATCGACGCCCAAAAGTGACGACGGCCTGGGCGCGAATGAAGGATGATTCCAAATTAGTGAGGTGACTACTTGATGACTACTAGATAAATCGATGTTTTAAATGTATGTAGGTTTTAACATTATTAATTTGATTTTTATATTCGTACGATGTATATTAATCGTATTAATAATTAAGTATCACTAATTCCTCAATGGGTGCTTTTTTTGTAGTTTTAATCAATGTTTTATTTCAATTAGCACAATCTTCTTATAAATTGTAGAAGGTTAAATTACCCCCATCACTAGTGTCGCTTCAAAGCGACAATGGCGTCAGGTGAATGTATATTTTGAGGTCTTATTTTCGCCTCAAACAAGTTCAAATTTGGAAAGAATACTATCAAATTCAAGCTTAACTTTAGTTCAATTTAATTAAGTGACATACGGAGAAGGCGACAAAATTAAAAAAATATAGTCTTTTTACCTATTTTCTATAATATCAGACATTTTTTTGTCGCCTAAACTCGACGTTGGCGTTCTAGCGGCCGATTACGTTTGTTTTGTCGCTTGTAAGCGTCGTTGGCGTTCAAAGGGTTAACTACTAATATGTATAAAGTTGTTATCAGGAAGATACCGTTTTAGAATACCAGCGTCAAATATCAGCTTAACGCTGCTGTGTTTCGTATGGTGAGTGTAGAGAACCGGAGACCCTTTTTACTGGAAAAGAGGCATTCCATCCTAGTCCTCATGGGTGGCAACGCATCTGCATTTTGATTCGCAAACGAGGATAGATGTAGACGTCTATGGGCCACAGCAACCACTTACCATTAGGTGGACTGTGTGCTCGTTTGTCACCCTATACTATAAAAAAAAGATGCTGATGCCTTGGGTTCACTCTGACGCCTCTCACAACATCCACGGAATGACTCGGGGTAACAGATTATCTTACTACACGCCTATATTAAATGGACTGTACGTAAACAGCCCACTATTATGTTTTTTTAGATAAAACTACTGCCTGAAAACCGTGGAGCATTAATCCGTAGAAGGATTTTTTCCGTTAAGATTAGTAATATTTACTTTGTTGCCAAAGGATGTGGCTACGAAATCGACATCTGCCGCACATGTACATAAACAATTTACACATTATTTACGTATCTAGCAACACTTGCTCGGCTCAGCCTTATGGAGCTGTCGAACGACCGGCGAACCTTGATGTTCCATATGGTTTTATACACAAATTAAGTAATACGCCAATTGACAAACTGGGTCAAATTGTATAGCTGGCATTGGTGCAAGCGATAAGCGAGAGAGGAATGAAGACTAAATGTTTTTGAGCTGTCGGTGTTTTCTTTTTTTTGTACCTGAATAGTAATACTTAGCAGACGTTTTATGTTCTTTTTTTTTAAATACTAGTAATGCTATTAAACATTAGTAATATTCCCTTAAACCACTTCTGGTAAGCTTAAAATGCTTGTGTTAGAAGTGGTTCACGACAGTAGTCGAATGGCGGATTCGTACCCCACGACCGTTCGAGTCCGCGGTCCGCGCCCTGCCATTAGGCTAGTGATGCTTCTTTATGTTCCTTTAATATTGTAATTAAATTATCTATGTAAAAATAAAGAAATAACTGATTATGATGATATGATCTACGATCAAATATAATTATGTTACTAGATAGCAAACGGTATTAATACCCATTTAAATATTGTTTGTCGTTAATAAAAATACCAACCTTATAGTGTGGAAATTAGGAAATTGGGGTGGAAATCTGTTAGAACAGTCGTCTGCATACACTTCCAGAGCCTGCTTTCATGTTTATTTTTCTATTGTCGTCTTTTGTTATAGTATCATATGAAGTAAACAGGTAGGCATCTGTACATATATTATTTGCTTTATACGAGCGGACGGTACAGTCAATAAAGTACAATAAAATATTTGAATGATACACATTTAACAGGTTTAGTTAAGTACTTAAGCCAATGAGCACATGATTTTTTTTTAACTTTATGACTTCCGTCTTTTTCTGGCATCATATTTTTCGAAAGAGACGCGGTATGCGTGGCCCCAGGCAATATTAATCACGTGTTGGTAATTTTAAACGTGTATGAGTCAACATAATGTATGACTGACTATACTTACTCTTAATTAGGAAGCTACTTTTCAAAAATACCGCCTCTAAGTCAGGGGTTTAGGATATAGCTTTTATAATTATGTGTTTTATGGTCACCCATGGTCACGGGGGAAGGTCAGTCCCCCGTGACCATGGGTTCTGTAAAGCACCCAAAATGTTGGGAAGTAATAAAAATAAGAAAAATAAGTTAATTAAACGCGATAAAATCCGTAAAAGTAGTTTTAATCAATGTGTATCTAGTGTTCGCGTAAATATAAGAAATCATTATGTATGTTTTGTTAACAACAAACTTATTAGATACCCTGTTACAAATTCAAGTATTATCTGTAAATTGTGACCGCAGTAGCAGATGAGACTCCTGTACATATTCGTACCGTATATGGAACCCTAACATTATGTTAACTTAGCATTATGTTAAGGTAGAAGCCAAAAGATTTTTTCCACGGTAGAGCCACGCTGTAGCTATATAATACAAGTAGCTTTAGGTGAGCTGGAGATCCTTTTTACTGGTAACGAGACATTCCATAGCCCTCTCCATCTTACTCATCAGGGTGACAACGCATCTGAAAGGACATTGTTCTGCGTCCATACAATGTTCGCCTAAGAACCAACAGTGAAAAAAATACCCTTTTAAGTCCGAAATTACACATAATTGTATGTAAGAACAATAACTCCTGACGGACACTTCTATAAACTTAGATATTAGCAGTTATCATAGAGATTTTGAGGTTATGTTTTATTTTTATGAACCATTACTATGTTATTGATAATGTAAGCAGTTCAGTGTTAGCCTAGCACTTATACGGTAAATAAAACTCAGGTTGGGATTAGGTATTTATTTTATTCATACCAAATAAATACAACGTATACAGTCTCATTTGGTTAAAGTTCGTGATTCAAGTCAGGCAGGTCGCTAAAGAAGAGTATCGATATCCGTTGTTCAAGCCGAGTCGTAATTTATAAAAACTTATCGCATAACAAATCAACTGCACAGTGCACTCAGATTCCGAAAACATTTGCAGAAATGTATTTTTTGTTTTTTCAAACGAAACCAAAACGATCGCACGTCTAACTTTTATCTATTTTGACGTGTTGTCATCTGTCAACGTTATTGACTTTTTTTTGCGTGGCACAATGCTGATTGGCCAATGACAGATGATTTCACTGTACCACAGTTCCTTGTGGCATATACTCGTATTAATCTGAGATATATTTAAAAATATAAACGTTTTCATAATATATTTGAGTTTATGGCAACTTTTGAAATATGTGAGTGAAGGTATTGTGCGATTGGCCAAATCACAGGAGGCCATAAACGCAGCACATTAGTATTAAAAACTAGGTACAAAGTTCAAAATCGAAAAAGTCCTTTTTATTTTGATTTCACAATTCAGAAGTATCCGTTACTATCTATTGAATGTTATCTAATGCATAATTAAGCCGCCTTAGCAGAGACTGTAATAGACACACATTAGTCCCAGTGTTTTTTTTTATACGATAAGGGTGACAAACGAGCACACAGTCCACCTGATGGTAAGTGGTTGCTGCGGCCCATAGACATCTACATCTATCCTCTATTACAAATCAAAATGTAGATGCGTTGTCACCCGTGAGGACTAAGATGGAATGCCTCATTTCCAGTAAAAAAGGGCCTCCGGCCACCTGCACTCACCAAGGTAAAGATAAACCTCTACTTCACGCTGGTTTTCTGTGAGTTCGTGGTACCACCCCGGTTCGAGCCGGCCTATCCGTGCGACAGCAAAAGCTTCCGCGTGGCTCTACCACTGTTGCTGGTGTTGCTGGTCCTTTGAGAGCCGCAGAACAGCTGCTTGCGTACAATTACTAAAACTCCTTTAGCAATAACGGACGTGGTTTAATATTGGTTTGAGTGTTATAACAATAGTATAATAAGGGGATTCCCAATTTCTTATTTCTTATGAATTAACGCTAATAGCTATTGACTTTAAAAACATTGTTACTGCGAGCCATGGCAGATAACAAAAAATAAAATAATCATCGGGATACGGGTACTTGTTAATGTTGCACACTTGCTTGTATAACAACCAAAACTTTTTAATTGCATTGACTAATATTTAAACAATAAAATGATAATATGTGTGCGTTTGTGACATTTAATGAAAAATGTTAATTACATGTGTTCTTTTTAACCTTAATAGCCGCTACTAGCTTGACGTGTATGTATTTAGTACGAATATTTATCTGAATAATTTGAAATTTTAGAGACATCTTAAGAACCGATGACTGAACATTAATTTAATGACTATGACCTCACTAGGATCATTACAGTTCAATGATCAATGCGTGGCTTTTATGTTCCATTTAGAAATTATTGTATTGTCATCGGTACGCAAAATTCCAGATATGTGTGGAATTTGAATTAAAAAATCTATAACTACCATTCATACATATCTACAGGTCAAGCTAACTATGGCATGTTAATAATAAAAACATTCAGAACACGTTCTGATGAAAGAGCGCAGTTAGCTCCATATTTGTTTCTTGATTACCTCAGCGTAACCTTTATTTATTGCTATAAATAATATGTTATTATAATATTAAAAATCATCCACTATTCAATTATGTTGAAACATGTTTTTGCTTAACAGCGCTAAAACAAGAGAGGACTCCAATACGAGGAATGGGACCCCATCCAGCGATGCGCGAGAGAGGCCGCGCCATTCCACCCGGAGCGCCTCCGCCACAAGTGCAATCAAAAGTGCCGGTGACTCTACCGCCACACGTCCGGGTACGAACTTCACCCCTCTCTGTCTACTACCAGCTCGACATCAAGGTCAGTTGACGGTGTGAGAATGATCGAGGCTTTTTGCAAAGGCAGGTAGGTCTGGAAGTTTCCTTCAAAGTATTTACATAGCGTATGTTACTTTATGTAAATACTTCTTTGTAATACTTTATTTAAATAATTTTCTTTTGTATATCCAAGCAGAAAACGCTTTGAGGTGTTTTCCTTCCCTCATATATGTGAAGTTTCAGAATCAGAATATTTAGGGAGTTTTTAAATTACCTGCACAGCTAGCATGGGCTGGGGACAAAATTTTTATCCCCCGTTTATATACACTGACAAGGGATAAAATTATCTTGTCCCTATGCCAAAGCACGGCAACGGGGAGAAGTATATCCCCGTTTGACATAACGAGTAGACATATATATATCCCCCGTCCGTAGCATGGAGCCAAATGAAAGATAAAATATTATGTTTTTTTGACATTTGAAAGGGACAATTCTCTGCAAGTTCATTGGACGTTTATATTCATACAAAAAATCTATCTAAGCCTATGTCCCATTTTATCTACTGTGGATATTATATCCACCGGTGTGCCCATGCTCGAAGGTTGGTTAAAACTAAGCGAGGGGATAAACATTTTCTCCTTTCCCCGGGGATAAAATTGTCTGCTGTCCATGCTAGCCCTGCTGTAGGTCTAGCAGTTTATGTAGTCTATAAGTCTTTCCAGGCCTCTCTTCTGTTTATAGGATGAGGTGATTACGAAATAATGCTGTTGTAGTCTGAAACGTTTTGTAACTTCCAGTTTTTTTCCGTCAAGTATTTTTACAAAAATCATATTTCACAAAGAAGGAAATTTCCAACATTGGAACTAACAATTTTAAGCCGGCTTAGCATCAGCAGACTCACACCTAACAAGTAAGTACATAGTATGTGGACGTAGTGTTGCAAGTAGAGTAAACCAATAAACATTAAAAATTCCATTTCTAACTTCTGTTCGTTTTACTGTTGTGTCTGTTTGTATAACATGTTCCAGGTAAGCTTTGTGTTATTTATTTATAAAATTTCTAAAAACAATTGTATGATTATAATTAATATAAAATAATTTTTACATAAAATAATAGATCTAAAAACTATTTCTTAAACATTTATATAAAACTGTTAGGAAATATTGTGTATATTATATAATAACGAGGTAAGTATTTAATATATTAGGTGTGCCATAAACATAAAAGACAGTTTTAGGCGCACAATGCCCTAACGTTCCTCAAACGTTGGTAAACTTAAGTGAAAAAAGTAAACAGAAAAAAAAAGTAAAAATTGTATCTTAGAAGCCAGTGTCCTTTCCTATATTAACACATAACTACCATAGATTCCTGTGAATAAAAAGAAGAAGGTGTATGGGTGTGTGTGTGTGCGTGTGCGTGTGCGTGTGCGTGTGCGTGTGCGTGTGCGTGTGCGTGTGCGTATGCGTGCGTGTTACCTAAGGCAAAAATCTTACTGTCTGTCTAGTGAACTGTAAACTACAATATTATCGAAGGGATCTTTTTATCGTGCTACATATTCAGCCGCTTAGCGTCCTTTTCAATTATGTAACGAGTAACACAAGTTCACTTTGGTCCAAAAATAATGACTATGACATCATGCGCGTAACAGTTGATTCTTTTTATCATCACTACATCGTGGACTAAGCGACAAGCGGATAGCGATTTCAAAAAGTATGCTCCTACCTACATTACATATTTCAAGATATTCAGTTTAATCAATGCCGAATTATATAGTTTTTATTTTAAAATTATGAATTTAAGTTATAATTCTTTAGATGATTTTTGTACGTGGTAGAGCCATGCTGCAGTTATATTATGGTTGTAGCACGAATGGGTCGGCTCGACCGGGGAAGGACCACGCTCTCACATACACGCTACACATACGAATACCAGCGTAAAATAGCAGCTTAACGCTGCTGTGTTTCGTATGGTGAGTGTAGAGAACCGGAGACCCTTTTTACTGAAAACGAGGCATTCCATTTTAGTCCTTAGGGGTGACAACGCGTTCTGCATTTCGGTTCTCAATCGAAGATAGTAAGTGTCTACGGTTCGTAACATCTACTCACCCTCGGGTGTAACGTGTGCTCCTTCGTCACTCTTTTTTCTATAAACTAAACTCGTAGGTAGTGAAATAAAAAAAAATGTTTCAACCATGCAGACAGGGGTTCATTATGTTCACTATGCCTAGCACATAAATGTAGCCTACATTCGTCAATTAACTTTTTTACTGTTTTATCTTTATTATTGTATAGAAATTAAATCGAATAACGAAGACTATCAGCTGTCGGTCACATGCGACAAGCATTTGGCAGACAAAGCTCTCTTTGTTAATTAGTCTATGCCATTAAAACTAGGCGACATTCTGTCGTACACTGCGCATCCGCTTGTCAGTGTGACGTCGTTCGATCATTAGACAGCGTTTACGCACAAAAATTAAAATATTTTGTTCAAAAGAAATATTTAAAGTATATATATAAAAAAAGCATTTATTTGATAGAAATAGACGTACACACATTAAATAACATAACATAACATAAACACTCACGCCTGTCACCCAGAGGGGTAGGCAGAGATTATGGACTTCCATTTGGTACGATCCTGACACACCTCTCTCGCTTCCTCCACATCCATATACCTACGCATACACGCTCGTCGGTTAAAGGTACTCTTGATTTGGCCCATTTTTAATATATCGCTAATTTGGTCGATAAACTTTCGCCTAGGGCGACCCTTCCCGACTATGACTATGAGAAGAAAGTAAAACGATAAGTGAAATAAGAATAGAAGGGGAGTTGGTAGAGCAAGTAGATGAGTTTGTATATTTGGGATGTGTGTTTAGCAGGGATGGTAGATATGATAAGGATATAGAACGACGAGTGAATGCAGGAAATAGAGAGAATGGGGCTCTACACTCTATTGTGAAAAGTCAGAATGTGTCCAAAAAGGCACGTATGGCAATTCACAATGCTGTGTTAGTACCTACTTTAATGTATGGTGGTGAAAGTTGGGTGTGGCAGAAGAAGCATGAGAGTAGAATAAATGCTGTAGAAATGCGTTCATTAAGGAGTATGTTAGGGATGAAGCTGAATGACAGAGTGAGAAATTGTTTAATAAGAGAAGAGTGTGGTTTGCAAGATGATGTTGTGACCAGGATTAAGAAAGAAATGCTTCGGTGGTTTGGCCATGTAGAAAGAATGAATGAGGAAAGAGTGACAAAGCAAATTTATGTTGCAGAAGTGAACACATTAAATTTAGCAACAAAATAACAAAGAATTTCTAAAATAGTGACAAAATAAGAATTCCAACTTAAAGCAAAAAGTGTAAATTGTACGCCTCATCACCGACAGACAAGGTTAGCAACTCGGCATATTTTGCGCTGAAAATCCAATTCCGACGCAATACTGATTTTCAGTGCCAACCTCCATGACATCCGCGATGCCATTCAGACACATTATTATTTCTCATGTGGAAATAGAAGACGAGATGGAGACACTAGCATTGTATCTGTAACTCGTTCTTCGTTACACGTACTCTTGCCTGGAAAAATTTACCGAAAATTTAAATTTAAAACTTACACAAACTTTTTTCTTACTCGATGATGATGAAGGGTTTGATTTAGTATAGGTATGGTAGCTCTCCTATTATATACGTGGTAGAGACATGCTGCAGCTATATCAGTAGTATAGTTGTAGCACGAATAGGTCGGCTCGACTGGGGAAGGACCACGCTCTCACAGAATACCAGCGTAAAATAGCAGCTTGACACTGCTGTGTTTCGTATGGTGAGTGTAGAGAACCGGAGACCATTTTTACTGGAAACGAGGCATTTTATTTAGTCCTCACGGGTGACGACGCAATCTGCATTTTGATTCTTTATTGAGGATAAATGTAGATGTATGGGTCACAGCAACCACTTACCATCAGATGGACTGTGTGCTCGTTTATCATCATATCTTATGCGTATATATATACGCATGCGCATGCGTATTGTGCATATTGCTTATGCGTATATATTATAGATTCCAGTGTTAAGTTTCGTCTTAAAAGGTACGAGAGTAATCATCACTATTAATATTATTAACTTACGCGGGATTATCCTTATGAAATCAATATTGTGAAGCCCACGCCTGGTAGGTTAATTTATGATCGCTCACCGATTTCGACTCACTTCTTACCACTCGGCTGAATATCTCTGGCCCCGCTATGTTTAGTAGCTATGTTGCTTTTAATCGAAGGCCTTATACATATCTGGAACTAGCTGTGCCCCGCGGTTTCACACGCGTATATAACGCGTCTGAGCCGCGCGATATGACATGACACCTAGTTCAAGCATTTTAGATGGCAATGTATGGAAAAATTGGCAAAATTTAGAGCTAAGTTAAATTTTATCCACTCTCCCTCCAGGGTGAGCGTCACCCACCGCGCCTCAAAAAGCGTCCCGAAGCGCTGCTTTTTACAGTTTTAAAGAAAACCGTACACGATAATCCTTGATAAATTTGCTATCAACCTTTTTTCACATACAAAAGCGATATCACTTATTGCTTCCGCACAATCTGCCACGAAATATAAAAAAAATGTATCAGTAATTTATCGATTTTTTGTTCAAATTTTAGTTTTCTCAAGAATTTGTCAGTTTACGCAAAGATATGTATAATTCAAGTAAGTAATAGAATATGATCTTTAAAAGTACATTTTATTTCTAAACTCTTTCATTTCACCTTGCTATGCTAGTTTGAAATTTCATTGATTCGGTCATTCAGCGAAATATAATTATTTGTATTTTAGCCAAAGACATTTAAGTTAGTATACATATATATTTAAATCTCTTTGATTTTAGCTAAAAAATTAGCAAAATGAATGTCATAAGTACTTTTATCTATCGACATATGTACGTTATAGATCAAAGCTAGATTTTATATTTAGATATTTTGTTATTATTCCTGTGAAACCCATAATAAGTCTAAGGATGATTTCGCAAAAATTAAATTATACAACGATAGTACGA